AGGCACTGTTTAGTCAACTGCGAAGGCGTGCAACTTTTCCTACATGTGCTTTGCTATTTAAATATTTCAATTTGGCTAACTGTTGCTGTGTTTCAGTCTGTAGATGGGCGTCAGATCAGAGTCGACCAGGCTGGGAAATCCTCCGAGAACAGATCCCGTGGTTACAGAGGGGGGTCCTCGGGGGGCCGGGGCTTCTTCCGTGGGGGCCGAGGCCGGGGCCGTGGCTTCTCCAGAGGTGAGTGCCTGGGGGGGGTCAGTCATAATATCTAGATTTAAGGGAGGGGGGGCTCTGTCACTTTTCAGAATGGTTGAAAAAAAACTTATTTCTGTGTCTTTCCAAGGAGGTGGAGACAGAGGCTACGGCGGCAGCAGATTTGATTCCAGAAGCGGAGGCTATAACGGCTCCAGAGACTACTATAATAGCAGGTAAGGGCTGTGCCAGCACCGGGGGTCGTGGGGAAGCTGTGGTGGAGCTCAAACCAGTGGAGAAGGAGTTGAGCAGCTGTAAAGCAGGTGTTGTTTGTCCCGCAGGAGTCAAGGTGGCTATGGAGACAGGAACTCAGGAGGATCCTACAGAGACAGCTACGACAGTTACGGTAAGTCCCGTTTCGACCGGGAGCACTGAGTCCGTGTGCTGTAGGAGCTCTGAACCTGCTGAGCCTGAGCCTGGAGCTGGGGCAGGCTCAGGCTGTGGACGTGGTGGTGCCGGGAGAGTCTAATTTAATGCATGTGCAGGAGTTGCTCGCATCTAAGGCAAAGCAAGTGTTAAAAAAAAAAAAAAAGGTGTTCCTGGAGCCCAAACTCTGGCTGCCCTAACGCACTGACCCGCGGGTGGGGGATCTCAGTAGCCAAGTAGCCGTAGCCTCGGATTAATGCAAAGGGAGTAAAATGCTGGAACTTGTCTTTGCTTCAGTGCCTTTACAATTGTGCCTGCTTCTTGTCCTCAGCTACACACAACGAGTAAAAATCCTTCCTGACTCAAGATCGTCCTTCCAATGGCTGTATTTATAAAGATTTTTGGAGCTTCGCTGAAATGGTTATTGTGTAGTACATCTACTTGTATTTTCACTTTTGTAGTATTATCAGTTCTGATCTTGTCATACACAGCCTGGCAGCTTCTGAGACAAGACTGTCTGATTAGACTGTCTTGGAGAAAGCTCTGCTTTCAAGTGGTTTTAATCTTTTTTGAAAGCACTTCAGATTTTATTTTAAACTCCATGAATGAGCCAAGGTGTTCGTTTCTGTTTTTTTTTTTTTTTCTTTTTTTAAGATGGGGCCCCAATTCAGTTTCTTTTGAGCTAGAAAGGACCTTGTACCGATGTTCACTGGAAGCTGAACAAGCTGTGGACTTTTTTTCTTTTTTTTTTTTTTTTTCCAAGTGCATTACCTTCGTCTTTTGTAACATTCCTTTAGTGTAGCAAGGTAGGAATGCAGCCTGGGTTCCGTTGGAAGGCAAACCACCTTGATATATCTAAAGAGAAACGTGCTTGTATGTTCAACCCGCATAACGGTATTTTTACTGTTGTAATGATGTAAATGACCCAGAACTAGACTTGCAAACTTACCATAAAGAGGTTCTTGAAAATGTTTATTTATATTGTCCTTTTTTACTGGAAGAAATATGCATATTCCATTGCTGTTGTATTTGAAGTGGTAAAGGATTCCTGTATACAGTTTTCTTTGGCTTTACGAAGCCTATTAAAAGACCGTCTGAAATGAACTCTGCTCCTGACATTTACATTTCATTGCACAACACAACCCTTGGAGACGAAGAACAGTCTTGGGAGCGAGAGGAGATTAGGGACAGTGGCAGAGCCAGCCGGACGATTGCCCGGGCGCTGGAATTTAAATCCTAAAATCTTATCTTGGCATCTGAATTGGCCGACAAATTTCACATAAAGCAGTCAAAACTTGTCTGTAGAGGCTGGAAGTACAAACCTGAGGGCGTGCTAGGAGTGAAGTGCAGTCAGAACGTTAGGAAGGATAATGGATGTTTCCTGCAAAGCTGCTGTAGCCTACACTGGGAAGCTGTAGAGAAGAGCCGAGTGCTGTAGTCCCTGGGCTGTTCCCTGCGTGCCGAGCGCGTGTGCAATGTAGGGGAATGCCGGGCTTAGCTTAGCTGTGTCATTGCTTACAAGTTCTAAGAATTCTTTGCTAGCAAATGGAAACTGCAGTGTCCTTGGAGAAAAGAAGTGTTGTGCCTCCAACAGAAACCTCTGAGACGAGAGCTGCTCTCTTGGCTAGTTCATATGTGGAAATAGTCCTGTAATTCGAGGTAACTCCTTTTGCTCATGTCCGCATCCTTCCTCTTGTTGAGAGCTCATTTGAAAGTCTAATGTACCTGTGAAATATTCCTTTTGACAATTTTGGTCAGCTGCTGGAAAAACGTTAACCCATGCCGTATGCAACCTTTGGCTTGTGGCACACCTTGAGTTCCACAGATCAGAGTTGGGCATGCAGCCGTGTCTTGCTGTAGGTACGGAAGCAAGATTGGAACGAACTCCCTGACTCGATATGTGTTCATCTATTGAGACTCTTCCTAGACTTCATTAAGTTGCTCACTTTAATTGTAGCTTTCTTTGCCATCCTACTTGTTGCCATTAACTTTTTCCCATGGCCCACACTTCCTAAGCAGCCATGTCCAAGTGTTAACTCTCTGCTTAGGGGATCCAAACCATGGGCTGGCTGAGCACGGGCAGCAGCCGGCCCGGAACAGTTTTCCCAGACTGTGCTTTGTGGTGTGATGGGTTCAGCGATGGCTTGTGAGACCCTCGTGCGCTGTGAGCTGTGTGGGGAGGTTGGGGGCGAGAGCAGCCTCTGCCCAGGGCTCCTGTTAATGCCTCTCTGCTTTAGCAGGCTGAAGGGACCCGGCACACGCCTCGGAGGGCCAGTGGATCCTGAGCGACCAGAGCTGCGTTCCAGGGATGCTGGAGCAAGCTTGCCAACCAGGTAACATCCCTTTTCTGAGCTTTCCTTCTTTTGCCGTGTCCCTTTTCTGTATCCCTGAGCTCTTAAGTGGTGCAGTAGCCCTCTTCCAGTCCTGTATCTTCATCCACCTTCCAATTCTCTAACCCTGTTCCATTCCTGTATCTTTATCCACCTTCCAATTCTCATGTCTCCTTTCCATTTCAGCACTGAGACACGTCAGAGAAGACAGAAGGACAGACACTGGAGTGGGGAGATGAAGAGCTCAGAGCAGTGGTGTTGCTCGTTTTTACATGAACCAAGTCAATCAAGCCAGAATAAAACACTGAAATGTGGAAAAAAAAATCTCTGTGGTACTTCTTGTGGGAAACAGGTTATTTTTGGCAAAATTATTTGTCTGGTGCAGAGCACAGTTCAGAGCATGGAACAAAGCACTGCTGTGGTGCTTGGAGGTGGACACTCTGCTCCAAGCGGATTGATGTGTGATCCTCATGGAAATGAGGTCTTGTTGCTGGTTAAATCCCAAAAATGTAGCAGCTCATTGAGGAGGATTTGGCTTCAGAAAGGCTGACACTCTGAATGTGTGTCTGGCAGGAGATTGCAGGGTGAGAGCAGTGAGAGTTTATGATCTCAGCTGCTCCTGCCCTTTTTTTTTTTTGTGTTAAAGAAGAGTTGATTGCTTCATCCTGCCCTTTCCTCCCCATTTTTCTAAAGGGATAAACTCAGAAGTTGGTGATGGGCTCGCTCAGGAGCCCTGAGGACTTGCTGCCCAAGAGCCATCAGTTCCCCATTTTCCACTGATAAGAGTCTCCAGACATTCCTGCCTGCAGGAGGGGATTATTGAGCTCACTTCACAAAACCTACTTTCCCTCCTTTAACCTTTTTCAAATTATCTAAGTGAGCAGCATTTAAAAAAAGCAATCAGCCATGACACACTTCTGGGGGTTGTATCGAGCAATTCACCAGTGAGAATTTTTGCATGTTAATGCAGGATATTAAATATAATGAAGGCTGAGGAGTGTGTGAAGTCTTTGCTGATAAAAATGCAGTCAGGTGAGGCTTAAATGAATTCAGGCTGAAAATACTTACAAATAATGCTTTGTAAGACCTCCCTAAATAGGATGCTTAGACACAGGCAGAAATAATGAACAGGTACAAAAATAGAGCCTGGTTAGAAGTGCTGTTATTTTTGGCATTGCTAATTATGGCAGTGAGTTAATGATGTCTTGCTGGGATGGGTGAGGGAATCGCTGGGTCCAGGGGCTGGATATGGAACCCAGTGGCGTAAGCGGGAAGGTGTTTGGGTGCCGTGGGTCTGATGTGAGCTCGAGTGACCCAGTTTTATCCAAAATGCCCTTTTTCAAAAAGTAAGCCCTGTGTGTCCAGGTAGCTTGAGCTGTTCCCTGAGGAAAAACGGGGAAGTGGAGCAGGGCTGAAGGGCGGTGACTGAGCCTTGGTCAGCCGGAGGTGTCTGCAGAGGAAAAAGGTGGGGGATAGAAATTCTTGAAATGCTCAGAATGCTCCTGTTTGCAGCTGTCTTCACCATGGGGTGGGAATGGCTGCCCTGAAGGGAAAAGGATAACCCTGAGGGGTAAACGGCAGCTCTGGGGGAGATGGTCCTGCTATGAGGGGCAAGTGGCGACACTGAAGGAGAAATTATGACCCTCAGGGGGAAATGGTGGCCGTGAGAGAGGAAAGACAACCCTGAGGGGGAAATGGCGGCTCTGGGGGAGGAATGAGACTCCTCAAACTCTGAGGGCAATGGCGGCCCTGAGGGAGGCAGGATGACCCTGAGCGGAAAATGGCGTCTGTGACGGACGGGCTGTTGCGGTGAGGGAGAAATGGCGGCCCCGCCGAGGTGACAACACCCCGCGAGGGGACAACAACAACCCCGAGGGCAAAATGTCGGAGCCCCGCGGCGGCTCCGTGAGCGGGTCACGGCCGGCCCGGAACGGCGCAGCCCCGGAACCCGCGAGCGGCTCCGCGGGGCCCGGGCGGTGCCTGCGCCGCACGCACCGTCCCGGCGCCTTCCTGCGGCCGCCGCTCCCGCTCCGCTGCCCCGGCCTGGCCCGGCCATGCCGCGCTTCCTTCTCCTCCTCCTCCTCTTCCTCCTCGTCCCGCACCTCGGCCGCGCCGCTATCCCCAGCCCGGGGAACAGCACGGAACCGCCGCGGGCGGCCACACGGAACGAGACGCAGTGGGAGTCGGAGCAGGGGTCCGGGCCGAGGCTGTCGCTGGGGTCGGGGCTGCCGGTGCTGAGGCGGGCGGTTTATGTGCTGAGCGCTCTGTCGGCGCTGGCCGCGCTCTACTTCGTGCTGCGGGCGTTCCGGTGAGTGCGGGGAAGGGACGGGCACCCGGCCGGGGCTGTATCCGTGTTCTGCTGGTCCTGCTCCTGGTCTTGTCCCCATCCTGGTGTCCCCTGACCCGGGGCTGTGTCCCTGCGGGTCCCAGTCCCTGTTCCCGTTGTCCCGGGCTGTGTCCCAACTTGTCCCGGTTCTAGTGGTCTCTGGCCCGGGGATCTACCCTGCTTGTCCCGGTTCCCTCTGGTCGGGGATGTCATCCTGATTGTCCTGGTCCTGGACTGGCTTGTGGCAGTGTCCCTGCTTGTCCCGGTTGTCTCGGTCCCTGTCCCTTATGGCCCGATCTTGGTCTGGATCCCCCTGAATCCGGTCACGGTGTCCCCTGTCCCTTGCCTGTCCCAATCCTGCTCCTAATCCCTGTGTTTGTGCTCATTTTCCCTGAATCCCCCTCCCTCCCTCCCTCCCTCTGCCAGCCGGGGCTCTGCTTCCATCCCTTTGGCAGCGAGTCCAAAACGTTGCTGTAAATCCCCAGCACTGTTAATTACCCGAGGTAATTAGCGCTAAACCATCTCCAGTCCCGCTGGGTGGGGACAGCAGCTCACTCACTGTGCTCTCCCTGTCCCTCAGCCCCAGGTCCGAGGGCACCAGAAACGAGCCCAAAACTCATTGCAGGTTGAAGAAGCCCCAGAGGAAGAAGTACGGGCTGCTGTCGAGCCAGGATGACAACATCGAGCTGGGCTCCCTCGACAGTGACGAGGACACCGTGTTTGAAACCCGGAACCTGAGGCGGTGAGGGAACATTTTGTGTGTTTTTTGTATTGCTCTTTTCCTCACAAGGGGCTGAGGCTCCTTTCCCAAAGCCGTGGGAGCTCTGGCACAGCTCCTACAACCAGATCTGCATAAATTAAAACGCCTGTGTGTGGTCTCTGTGTTGGCACACAGATTTATCTCACTTTTCCTCGTTTTTTGGCCCGGGAAAGTCTCACTGACAGGGTTATTTGGACACTGCTGTGGGGTCACAGAGCTGTTGGGAGAGGCAGCCCTTGTGCCCAATCTGGGCCTCCCTGTGTTAGACAGGAAAACAAAAATTCCTGGGGTTTTTTTCCTTCACCTTAGGAGTTTCTTCCAATTCATATCACAGTTCAAACTCCTAGTCTTATCAGGACATGCATTCCTGTTTTCCCAGCAAAATTCCTGGTTTTGGTTTTTTGTTTTCATTTTGGGAATTATTTCCAAATCTCATCACAATTCAAACTCCCTGTCTCACAGGGGTATCCATTCCTGCTTTCCCAGCGTTGTGTTTACATCCCACAAGTTCGATTTCTGGGGAGGTTGTTTGAAGCTGAGGAGGAGTGTCATCTCAAGGAATGTCACCTCAGCTCACCCTGATTTTGGATGTCTCCTTTTTTTTTCCAGATGACTTGTGACCAGCGGCCCGGAATGATGGAGGGTCCAATCCCAGTGGAATCTCCAGTGCTCAACTTTTTTATCTGCTTACAGTGACTGAATTAACAGTTCCAACCCTTCCATAGCTGGGGCAGGGGAGAGGGGACCAAACCTGTTTTCTTTACGTGCATTTTTGGGGACATTTCTGGGGAAAGATGGGAGCTGTTCACTGCATGGGGAAAGGCTGAGGTAAGGGAGGTGCTCCTGGATGATTTTTAGCACCTGAAATCTGAGCTTGAGAGCTGCCCCTGTGCCTCATATCCCTCTCTCCTTGCCCTGGAAGCATCAGATTCCTTTTCCAGGCTGATCCTTTTTCCTTCATGCAGTATCAGGTTACTTCTTTGGGAAGTGTCTCTGTAATCAGCTCCTGGGAGGAGCTGGGAGAGCTCTTGGTGTCTTTTACACAAACGGGGGTGGGAGGGTGATAGTTCAGACAGAACAGCTTTGGGGATGAGTTAAACGAGTTACATTTTGCAGGATAATCCAGGTCATTCATGGATATACAGACATGTTTACAAATGAAAGGGGCCACAACCCAAAGGAATATTTCTCCAAAAGAGCCACCAAAAGGGCTGGGAATGCCTGGACTCTGCCTGGCCACAGTTGCGAGTTCACCAGGGGCACGTGTGACATCTGCCAAGCTCTGGATTTTGTGATACTGAGGAAGAGCCAGGTGTGAGCCAGGGAGTATCCTGGAGCAGCTGATGACTGGAAAAGGGGGACCCCAACCCCTCTTGACTGTGATTCAGGGCAGCCCTGGCTGAATTATCTCCTCCCAAGGACCCTGAAGTTTCATTCCCTTGGCTGGTACTCAGCCGGGTTCTTTCCTGCAGCCCTTTGTTATGTGGATTTTTGGGATCTGATTGTGTAGGACCAAAGGTGAATGTGTCAGGAGGTGGTTTTTGGGTGGATCTGCTGCTAAAACGGTGAAAACTGCTTGCCAATTGCTCCTGTCTGTGACCTTTCCTTGGAAACTGGCAGCACATCCTTAAATCCCACTTCCCCCCCAAGCTGGTAGTGCCTTTGTTTGGAGAACTCGAGGGATTTGTCCTGCCGGCAGGGAGGGTCCCTGTGGCACCTTTAGGGTGAATATTTAGGATGTCTTTGGAATGTCTTTGGCTCCTTTCCTTTGGCTTGCAAATCCCCTGTGGATCAGGGGCAGGGATGTGCTGATCAGGGGGAGGCCGGGGGCTCCCGAGGCAGCTGAGGGAGTGCTGTGACCCTGTGCAAGCAGCCACGTTTGTTTGTTCAGGACAGGTGAGGTTTCCTGGAGAAATCCCGCCCCCATGGCAGCTCTGTCTCCCACGTGCACAAAGGATTTTAAAATACGTAGATATAGATATATATATTTTTAATAACGTTGCCGTGTGCACACAGTGCTTGGACGTGTGCCCAGTTTTCCTATCCAGTTTGGATCGTTTCACACCTGTTTTGGGTGTTCCCTGCTTGTTGTAGCTGCTGCAGATGGGAGCAGGCAGAGGTTCCATGAGGGAGTTGCTGAGATGGCTCCTCTGGGGATGGTCTGATCACTGTGATCCATGATCGAGGATCTGTCTTGATCCTGCGGGGCTGCACGTGCTGATAATTCCCTGGCTCTTTTATTCTCTCTGGGAAGTTGTTCCTTGTGCTGTTGAAGCCAAATGAGCCCAACTGTTCCAATCCACTGCCATGTTCAGTGTTTGACTAACACATTCCTCATCTTTCCTTTACCTGGAGTGATGAACCTGAGCATTCCTTAGGCTCCTCTTTTGTTGGACAAATGGGGTTTGCAATTCTCAAGTTTCCTCCCCTCGCAGGAGTGGAGCATTTGTTTAATATTAAATGGTTTGGATAAGAGGGAACCTCAAGCAGTAGGTCCTGCCCTGAAAATAATTCTGCTGGGATTAATTTTGACTGGAACAGATGTTTGTGTTTGAGCAGGGAAAGGCGTGGAGCAGGTAATGAGGTGCCTGGGCTGTGCTGTTTAGGTACCAGGGAAGGAAATTGAGGTGCCAGCCTGGAATTTCTGCACCACTTCCGTGTTTTCAGAGTCCTGCTGGCCACCTTTAAAGGCTACAGGGTACTAAGGTGCTTGTGGGGCTGTTGCTTGTCCTGTCTTGGGCTGGAGACAGGTTGGAGCTGTAATCAAGGACCCTGTGAAGCTGTTTCCATTTCCATCTGCCCCTCGGCAGCAGTTGGCATCTGGGTTTGCCCTTTGCAGGCTGTGACATTCCATCCCTGCTCTGCTCTGAGTCCTTGGAGGCCTTTCCCAAGAGGAGAAAACCAAGTAACAGATCTGAGACTCCTTGGGGTGCTCAGCATGATCCCATTTCTTCAGGAAGAATCAGCTGGAGCTTTCACTTCCTGCAGTGTGAGCAGTGCCAGGACAGGGCAGGTGTTTTTGGGGTGGATCCTGCCAATAACAGCAGCTTTGAACACTTCACATGACATTTCCACAAAGGAGCAGTTTCAGGTGTTCCTTCCATTACTCTTTCAGCTCCTCCACGTGTATTTGGTACCCTTGATTTAGGTCTCTTTGCACGAGTTGGATCTTCCAGTAGCTTTCCAGTTTTAATTTTTCAGCCTAAACACGGGAATTCAAACAGACCTGCCTGTCCCTGGCCCTGGGCTGGCTGAGGCCTCACCAGCCACTGCTGCACTTTCCTTTCTCCTGGATGAATCAGGATGTTGGTGGAGGCTCCATGTGCCTGTTGGTCTGCAGGATTCCTGCTCATCCCAGCCAGAAGGAGCCAATGGACCTGTACCAGTCACCACCTGTGTGCATCATGACTGACAGCAACAGTCTGCTCTGAGTTAAGCCAAAGCCAGTTTTCCAAAGTTTACATAATCTCTCTGTTATCTTGGAGGCTTCCTGGGATGCTCTGCTGCTGATACCAGCCTGCCCAAACGGACTGGGCCATCTACAGGGTTAATGGGATCCATTGGAGCATGTTCAGATCAGCTCTGTGGGTTTTGTTCTGTGCTTGGGATGGGACCTGCAGCCCTGGAAGTGCTGGGAGAGGGGCCAGTGGTGGAAATCAATAAACAGCACTTGAGCACCTTGTTGTCTCAGCTCCCCAAGGAGCAGCTCGTGTTTTACCCTCCTGGAACTGCTGATCTGTCTTTAAACAGCCACAAGCCCTGTATCCATCCATGTTTTCCTTGTCATTGCAGCATCCCCTCCCTTGTACCTGGAACCACTGGAATAAAACATTCCAGCCCACCCATCCCTCCCTGCTGTGTGCAGGGGCTGCTGTGGTGAGCTCTGGGATTTGTGGAGTCCTTTGGGTTTTCCCCCTGCCTTGCTCCCTCTCACAGGACAGTGACACTGTGCTCCCAGGGCTGCTGCTCACCTTGTGTCTCATCTGGAATTATCCAAGCCCAGGTTGGATTGAGCTTGGAGCAGCCTGGTCTATGGAAGGTGTCCCTGCCCATGGCAGGGGGTGGAATGAGGTGAACTTTAAGGTCCTTTTCAAACCAGTCCATGATTCTCCAGTCATCTCTGGGTTGGTTTCAGTTTTCTGAAGTCTCGTTTTTTCTCCCTGTTCTCACATTAATCCCTTTTCTTGTACAGAAGACCAAATAAGGTCCCTGTGAGGCCAGTTCTGGCCTCTCCACAGCAGCAGAACCAAATTTAATTTTGCTTATTTGGGAGTGAGGAAGGAGAGGCTGTTCCCCGGGTCACAGAGTCATGGAATCTCCTGAGCTGGAGGAGGCCCACAAGGACCATCCAGTCCTGCCCTTATTCCTGCACAGACCCCCCAACAATCCCCCCCTGAGCATCCCTGGTGTCCAAACGCTCCTGGAGCTCTGGCAGCCTTGGGGCCGGGACCATTCCCTGGGGAGCCTGGGCAGTGCCCAGCACCCTCGGGGGGAAGAACATTTCCTAATATCCAACCCTAAACCTCCCCAGGCACAGCTCCAGACGTTCCCTCAGCTCCTGCCCCTTGTCCCACCGAGCAGAGCTGCCCCTCGGGGGTCTCCTCTGAGTCTCCTCCAGGCTGAAATGGGAATGTCCCAGCTCCTCCCTGCAAGGAATCAGTTCCAGAACAAAACCAAGGGCGTTCCCGGACTCTCACATCTGCTTCTCATCCTCCTCATTCCGGCTGTGTGGCTCAGTGGCACTGAGAAAACAGGAGCCACGTTCCCCCTGTCCCCCTCTGCCACCCTGCCCGTGTCCCCATGCCCTGGCTGCTCGTGTCCTGGAGCAGCCGAGGAGGGGACAGGGTTTTGTTTGCTCCACGATTTACCCTCGTTGCTGTTGGGGTTTTGGGGGGCAGCGGGGTCGGGGCACACCAGGAGCTGGGGCACAGGGCATCCCTGTAGGTGGCACTCACAGACCAGACTTGCAGCTTCCGGGGCACTGCC